AAAAAAAAAATAGTAACAGTGACAGTTTTGGGAAGAAGCAGTCTTCCCTAGCAAGCTTCAGAGGGTGCAGGCATGGCCTTGAAATCTGTCATTCAGTCTTGGTTGTGGACTCCAGAATGATTATAAAATACATTCTGATTAAAATGTGACTAAACAGCTCAACTTTAGGGAATAGGTGAATTTCTTAATTGCTTACAGATCTAAATAAATTTCTAATTGAAATACTGTCAGAGTAGATGTCCATAAGTAAGCTCCTTTTCTTTAGGAATTAAAATTCATGCAGTGTGTTTCAGTTGCTTACTATCCCTTCTTTTTTATTACTGCATACTAATTATATAGACTAATGGATTTCATTTTGACAACTTCATTCCTGTGTTTACATACTTCGTTACTATACATTCTTTTTACCCAAATTTTTTGAAAAGTTTCACTCTTGATGAAACAGCCTATTATAATTGTCAAAGAAATTGTAGCGAGTTCTTTCTAAACATGTCTTTTGCTCTTTCTAGGTCCTATTGGGTAGGTGACATCAGCTGGACACATAATAGTCTTTTTCTGGCTTGTGTGTTAAAACGTGGCTCCCTGCTTTTATTGACTTGCCTAGGGGAATTGCTAACATTAGTCACGTGTGGTTGCTCTATAGAATTTGGGCCAGCAGAATTTATACCTCTTCATCCACTAATAACATACAGGTGAGACATACATTTGACCTGCTTTAATTTGTTTGCAAAAGTTGTTCTCTTTTGGGATTACTTTTACTATGTATTTTTTTTAAAAAGTGTTTTCATCTGTCAAATTATTGTTTTTCTTTCTTTGAGTCTGTCATCTCAATTTCTGTTTCTTATTTATAGTTTTCTTCTATTTCTTTTTTGTTGCTTAACCCTAGTGAAAATTTGACATTATGGTTATGTAAGTATAAGTTATTAATATTTAATATAAATTTTATTTAATTCAATTAAATATTCAGTAGTGCTAAAAAATATATCTTCTTTGATGTAAGAGATAAAGATGTATGATACGGCATTTATTGTTAGAATAGCACTTAGATAAATTAATAATTCAAAATTAAGTTGGCACGTGGACTTACCATTTTTTTTCTAAAAGGGCACAGTTCTAAAGTAATTGCTTGGTAATTTTTTTTTTTTCCTTCTTTCGTGAACTAGAGTTTGAACTCAGGGCTTCCTGCTTGCAAAATTAGTGCTCTACCACTTGAGCTAGACCTCTGGTCCATTTTACTGTGGAGATATATATATATATATTTTTTTTCAATATTAGGGTTTGAACTCAGGGCCTCATGCTTGCTAGACTGGTGTCTAGCAAGAGTGACCACTTGAGTCACTCTGCCAGCCCATGCTCTGTGGATATTTTTTGAAAATAGGATAGGGTCTCATGAACTATTTGCCCGGGCTGTAATTTTTTTTTTTTTTTTTGAGGTACTGAGGCTTGAACTCAGGGCCTTCACCTTGAGCCACTCCGCCAGCCCTTTTTTGTGATGGTAGTTTCGAGATAGAGTCTCGTGAATTATTTGCCCCAGCTGGCTTCAAACCTCGATCCTCTTGATCTCTGTCTCCTGAGTAGCTAGGATTACAGGTATGAGCTGCTGGCACCCAGAAAAAAGAAAAGTTTTTTTTTTTTTTGTGGTACTGGGATTTGAACTTGGGGCCTCAGGCTTGCTGGGCAGGTATTCCACCACTTGAGCCACTTCACCAGCTCCAGATTTTTATTATTGATATTGATAATGTTCTTTGTAGCTAGACATAAATACAGAGCTATATTTAAAACAGAAAAATTGGAAAAGGCCTTTAAAATTAATCAAGTTACAGAAAGGAAACAGAGTTGAGTGTGTCCTTAATTATTGTGTTGTCCTCCAAATTTTAAAAATATTCATGTAGCATTTGTAACAATAGCATTATTAGTTTTTTTAACACTATATATATATAAAACAGTAGCATTATTAATTTCTTTTTCACCAGTATATGATATATACTGTTCAGTATTTTGCTACTTTTACTTAACAGTTTCTCTATTATATCTTTCCTTGTTGGATATTATGTTTAATGATTCCATAGAGTTTTGTGGTGTGTACATTCTATAATTAACCAGTCTCCTGTTTGCCATTTGGTTGATAAAAAAATCTATATTTGAAATCAGATGCAAGTTTATTTTATTTATTTACTTATCTATCTATCTTTTGTGGTACTGCTTGCTAGGCAGGAACTCTACCACTTGAGCCACTCCACCAGTCCACAAGTTTATTTTTGTTTACTCATTTTATTTTTTTTGTAGTCCAGTGCCTTGTATATACTAGATAAGCACTCCACCACTGAACTCACCCCCAGACCCCAAAATCAATATTGGAATAGTTTCCTAACCTGAAAAAAGTTATAACATTTTGATGATTTGTCCCCCTTTACGTTTGTAAAGCCTCAAATTTAATAAATAGTCATATTAAGTAGTCAGAATCAAGTACACCATTATAATAATAAATAAGTGCATTTATATGGAAACTTACTCAAATTTAATTTTAAGCTGATAAAATTTTGTTCACCATTATCCTTTCCAAGTTCCTTCTCAGTTTCTTTTCTTTCTCTTCTTTAAACAATTATACTGATACCTCATACATATATTTAAATATATGGTAAAAAGATAAACTTTTTTTTTTTAATGGAATCATGCACTCTGTTGCTTTAACCACACCTCTTGTCTGTTTTGCTCTGGTTACTTTTTGGAGATGGAGGTCTTTTGCCTAGGCTGGTCTCAAACTGCAATCCTCCAGATCTCTGATTATGTAGCTCTGATTATGGCAGTGGGACACCAGCACCCGGCTTAACTCTCTTAATAAAAATAAACTGCCTTAATTCTTCTCTGACATAGCTTGTATTTGCCATAATCCGGGAAAAAACTTAAAAATATAAACCTACATGCTTTTAATCACTGTTTTATTTTTCTGGCATATATATATTCATGTTATATATATTTAATTTTTTTTGTATATTTTATCTGCTTGCTTTCTCATCATTTTGTAACTTTGTTAGTTTGCTTTTTCTTTGGAGTAATATGATTGCTTCCTTTAAGATCTTTCTCTTACTGATTCTTATATTTTAATGTTTGTTTGCTAGACCACAGCAGTTTACATTTCAAGACTCAAATTATTCTGTAGATTCAGCAGCTTCTGATAGTGACTCTCTGAGACAGAGATTTTCTGTAAAAGCACACTCACGTTTACCCTACCTCATTGTTTCTGATGGATACATGGTCACAACCCTTCGATTTCTTGACAACCTGTCTCCATCAGTGCTCATGAGAGAGCTGCTACTTGATTCAACTCAGAGACTTGAGAAAATGTACCAGAGTGTGATGTCATCTAAGGTATAGTGTTTTTTGGTGCCATTGGTAAAAGTTGCTTTCTTTTTCCTGTCAAGGTTAAAACCATACTGACAGTTAATGTCCTTTAATTCTATAGAGTTGACTTTAGAATTTTTAACTGCTCATAATAGAATACATATAAGGTTTTGTTTTTAGAAATGTTTTATCTTTCCTCTACAGTCAAGAGGCAAAGGGCTGAACCTGCGCTCCCTGGATTCCCTCAGGTCTAGCTTGTTAAAGCACCAAGGAAATGAAACATCAGCTGATTGTACTCTGCCTGGATTCTTGCAGGCAGAAGAAACAATGAAGCTAAATGAAAAAGCAGCAGATTTTCAGGTACTTAATAGCATTGTATTTATTTTGAACAATGGCATATTGACTTTCTTCTAAGAAACACATTTGTTTTTTTCCTTATTAAAGGGAAGAGAAATTAACTCCACAGTGATTCTATGTATAAGGCTTAGTGATATTAACTGTAATTTTTTTTCTCATGTTTAGGATTTTGAAGCAACTAAAGAAGGCAAACAATTTCCAAACAACTCATTTCCTTTTTATAACCAAAAAAGTAATCCACTCTTCAGCATTGTCAGTGAAGGAAGATTGGAATTTGCATCAATGTTTGATACAATACACGCAAAGGATGATATGAAAGAGACAGATGGAACCATTACAGAGGTGCATTCTATCCAGAAAAACCTACTTGCAGCATGGACTATAGGAATTTCAAAAAACGTGACAGAAAAAAATTTAATGTTAAATTACACTGTAGTTTGTATCACTCATTTTTTCCACATTCTTCAATTTATTAAATGTCCTTTCCCCAAACTTGATCTTTTTTTAAGCAAGAGCCCAAAATTTAATGCATGGGTACTTTGTATCTTTCAACTTTTCCACCAGTGTTTATCCATCCACTATTGGGATACAAGATATAAACAAGATGTAGGACATTTGATAAAGCTGACCTCAAATACTATAAAGCTTTTGCTGACTCAGCAACAAAAGGCTCGGTTATTCTCAGAGAAACTTCTAGTCTGTTTTTATTTACTCAGAATGGTAGCTGACAAATTAAATGACATATACAGTCTTCATCCTTCATCAGCCGATGGAAGGAGGACAGCAGATCAAGACTTATTTGTGGTACCTATTTTTCAAATATTCAGAGACAGTGGTTCTCAGGAAAACTGGTCTTTGGACTCATCTTTCAAGATTCATCCTCAAGTGACAAATCTTGTTCAAAAGCCAGATCACAGGTATAATCATTAATTTCATTACTGAAATGTCATTAGATTTTTTTACAAGGTAAAACTCACCATTCTATATTATACTATTCAGTAGCTTTTAGTATATATTTAAGGTTATAGAACTATTAATACTAATTCCAGAAATTTTTTTTTTTTTTTGCAATGATGAGGATTGAAACTAGGGGCTCTTGAGCCATGCCTCCAGCCCCTTTTTGTTTTTCTATTTTGTTTTCAAGATAGAGTTTTGATAACTTTGCCCAGGCTGGCCTCAAACTCAAGATCCCCTGTCCTCCACCTTGAGTAACCAAGATTGTAGGCATGCACTGCTTAATTCTAAGATATTATTTTTATGACCTCAAAAAGGAGCCCTGTATCCAATGGCACTCAGCATTAAGGCATTATGTTATTTTAAAAATACTTGCCTAGCAAGTGCAAGGTCCTGAGTTCCAACACCAGTGCCACCAAAAAAAAGTATTGCCAAAAAAGAAAGAGAACTATAAATACATATTTCAAAATACTGTTTTATACCTGATATATATGTATATGTATAGATATAACTTGTTAATAAGAATTATTTAAGGATTTGTGCCAAATTTATATAGTACACACATTTTTTTACTCTTAGGCAACCATGATAATGAAAGGTTTTGGTTAATTACTATAAAAAATGACCACAGGCATATAAAACACTTAGGAAGATATATTTTGGGTATTTTTTGGTTATTGGGTTTGTACTATATTTAAATCTGACCATTATTATTATTATATCAGTGATGAATACAGGCCAAAAATAGGCTATCACTAGTGTGAATATTTTTTTTTCTTGGTGGGACTGAGGTTTGAACTTAGGGTTGCACTTGCAAAGCAGGTGCTCTACCACTTGAGCCACACTTCCAATCCATTTTGCTTTGGTTATTTTGGAGACAAGGTCTCAAGAACTTTTTTCCCAGGCTAGCTGTGGACTTCGATCTTTCTGATCTCAGCCTCCCAAATAGCTAGCACTTCAGGTGTGAGCCATCAGCACCCAGGTAAAATTTAGTTTTGATGATTACTTAATTTTGTGTATAGATTGATTGCTCTCTGGAGAATATTGTACAAAAAAACTTCATGGTATCAAACACAGTTAAGTCGAAGAATTCCTGAAGATGACAGACAGCTAACTGAAAAGATGATACATGAAGCCTCTACTGTGAAGTTACTGTTATGTCACATGCAAGCTCACTTACAGACTTCTGGAGATCGCTTGAACCAAGCCTTAGAACTTGCACCCATCCATGGTCAGTATCTTATAAACAGCTTTTAACTTCATGAATAAGTGAAATAATGAACTGAGCTGTGATTTTGTAATTGATTGGGATTATTTGTTTTTCAAAATAACTTTTGGCTGAGATGTAGCCACTAAATTTTAAAACAATAAATTTTATAAGATAATGCAATTAACTATGACTAATTGTTGGTTGAAATTTCCTAGGTGAAGAATGTTTTCTGTTAGGATCATATGAAAAGTCTGTTAAACTCTGGAAGAAGGCTCTACAAGAAACCGAAGAGAAAGGTATGATGTGTTAAAAAATGAAATGTGCCTTGGTATTGGAATAACATATTTTAACTTGCTGCAGAGCTTAAAAATAATTTTAAAGTTCAGAGTATTATAATTTTAAAGCTCACAGTATCTTAATGCCTGAATAGATTACATACTATAGGCAGCTTGACTGTCAGAAACAGTTACTTAAGATTATGCTTACTGCATTGTCAGGTTGGGCCAATTTTTACATGTATTTTCCCACGGCATTGTCTTTGTATATCTCATTTATTCATCTACTTTGTTAATATTTATTGAATGCTTGTTGTTTGCCCAGCACTGTACAAGGCACTAAGGATTAACAACTTTACCATTAAGTTGCCCATAATCACTTATATTGTAGGTGCTTGGGCCCACAGAAGAGCACTTTGCATAATCTGAGGCTGGATGCAAGTATCAGCCAAGGGAAAACCTGGTGGAGTTGATTTTTAAAATTAAGTAGAAGCTGAGTGTGGTGGTACATATGTGTAATCCCATCATTTGGAGGTAGAGGCACAAGAATTACAAGTCCAGGGCCAGCCTGTAGTACATAGTGAGACCCTGCCTCAAAAAGTTAGAAAATAAATAAAATTTAATAAAAGTTGGCAAGTTAAGGCAGTGGAAATGGTTTAAGAGAGGAAATAGCATTCTGAAAATAGAAGGCCCAAGCTGAGTGCTGGTGGCCCATGTCTATAATCCTAGCTACTTGAGAAGTTGAGATTGGGAATATCGTGGTTCCAAGACAGCCCCAGCAAATAGTTCATTAGACCCTATCTCAAAAATAACCAGAGCAAGATGGACCAGAGGTGTGGGTCAAGAAGTAGAATGCCTGCTTTGTAAGCATGAACCCCTAAGTTCAAACCCCAGTACCACCGAAAAAAAAAAACCACAAGGGTAAATGACTGATATTCTATGGTATACTGTTGCTAAACTATAATGTTCAGTAGGTCAGGTGTATACATTGACTTAGTATAGGTTTATTGGGACATAGCCCTATTATAAGTCAAGGAGAATCAATATAGTCATTTAAAGGTCACTTATACAACATTGCAGGACTATGGTGTAGGGGTGTGGGTTTTACCTAGAAGCAAGGAAATTAGTGAAATGGGACTCTGAACCAAAGTAATGTCAAGGATAATGGAATAGTGGTCATATTTGACAGATATTTAATATGTTTGGTCAATTGGACTTGTAATTGAGTAGATTTGGGAAAAAAGTTTAAAGCAGTACTTAGATTTTGGGATTGTCCAACTGAAACATTCAGTAAGATGGGAAGTTCTGGATGAAAAACAGTTTTCATAATGAGTTTCCACTGTGGACATTTAATTTCATTTATGAAACTTCATTACTAGAAGCCATTTGTAATGGTGAGAATTTGCAGCTCTCTTTGAAAGAAAATTGTTCAGAATTTAAAATGAAAAAGATCAAAGTATTGCTGACCTGTTCTTAAAAAATCTTTCCTTGAAATATAAAACAAATACAGAAGAATTTACTTAAGTATAGTTTGATGAGAATCACACACTTTTGTCTATCTAACACTAGACAAAGCATTAACATGCTTTTAATGTAAGTTTAATTCTTTCCTGTTTCAGGAGGAAGAAGGACATGTTTTTTTCAGATACGTTATTATCTTTCTCTCTTATACTGCTACCTCTATAGTTATAATTTAAATGACGCTCAAGGATTATGTGATAAGCTAGTAAGAGAAATACTGATTTGGTCCCAGTTACCTGTAAAGGAAAATGAAGATTGTTCAGGTATGCCTTTTAAAACTCAGTACATGTAATCTTGCTAATTTGTATTGATGGGTTTATATAAGAAATTGTTCATATGTAAAAATTGATTATCCTATCTCAATGGTGACTAAGTTATAGTACTTTGGATTTTAGAATGTTATTCTCTGAATGGCAAGAATCATGTTGAATTTTTTTATTTTGCTTTGTTTTTAATCTTGGGATCCCCAGGTTTTAGTATTAATTACCTACTAACCTTATATAACTGTTTATTCACAGACCTTTTCATTAGACATAATATCAGGTACTCTTAATATATTTATATGTTCTTTAAATGTTGCTTAATTTAGAAAGGTCATGAGCCAGGTGCTGGTGGCTCATACCTGTAATCCTAAATACTTGGGAGGCTGAGATCAGGAGGATCAAGTTTTGAGGCCAGCCCAGGCAAATAGTTCAGAAGACCCCCATCTCCAAAATAATGAGAGCAAAATGGACTAGAGTGTGGCTCAAGTGGTAGAGTGCCTGTTTGCAAGCATGAAATCCTGAGTTCAAACCCTGGTCCCATCAAAAGAAAGAAAAGTCATGAATATTACTTTCTGAGGTATTCTGAATCTTTTTTGTAATTTGTTTAAGAAATTGTAGATTATCTGGATTGCTCTTTTTCAGAGACATATAGCTAGAGGGAAAAGTGTATGGAGGATCATGTAATATATTTAAAATGGTTACAGGGCAGGAGAGTATTAAATGTATACTATGCCATATGTATGTGTCTGAAAGGCCCAATGAAGCAGAACTTTCTAAGTGGAGTCTGTACAAGCTTTTGCATGGAGTTCATATCTTTTTATTTATTTATTTGACTGTTGTTATTTTTGCTATGCTGAGGATCGAACCTAGATCTTCATCATATGTGTGTGTATTTATGTACTTATATTTGTCTCACATATATACATAAAACTTATTTATGTTCTCAGAGCTATATATTATGTTTTGTAATCTTCACCCCTTGTTTATAATCTTTATAATCTTTTAAATTTAAATTACGATATTTTCCAGTGTCAAGAATGCTCTTTTAAAAAATATTAAAAAAAAATCTATTGAAGGACTGGAGATGTGGCTCAAGTGGTAGAGCATCTGCCTAGCAAGTATGAGGACTTAAATTCAAACCACAGCACCACCAAAAAAATCTATCAAAACTTTTCCCCCATTATTGTACATTTTAAGTTGCTGTCACCTATGTTCACTTTTATAGAATGTTGCAGTGTAACTAAATACTTGTGAGCATTATAATAATTTCTTTAGGATAAAATCTGAGAAATGTGTTTACTATTAAAGAGTACCCACAACTTAAGACTTTTAATTCCTGTTGCCACATTGCCCTATGGGAAGTTTCCAGAAAGTTTCACTAACTATTTGAAAGACTTTGGGTATGACTTCTTTTTGGCGGCACTGAGGTTTGAACTCAAGGCCTCACGCTTGCTAGGCAGGCGTTCTTAACCACACTTGAGCCACTCTGCCAGCCCTGGGTATGACTTCTTAAATGACTTTATAGTCTTCAGTTTTTCCAACACTCCTGGCCTTACATGATTTAATTTTCAGGAGATAAGTTGAATGTATAGTAATTCTATATTTATTTGTTTATTTATCAGTACTGGAGTTTGAACTCAGGGCCTGTACTTTGAGCCACCAGCCCTTTTTTATGATGGGTTTTTTCAAGATAGGGTCTCATGAACTGTTTGCCTGGCTGGCTTCAAACCACGATCCTCCTGATCTCTGCCTGGTGGGTAGCTAGGATTACAGGCGTGAGCCACCGGCACCCAGTTCATGTTTTAATTTTTAATGATACTGTTTAAAGTGTACTGCTCACGTGCTTTTTGGGTTGAGGGTCCCTGAAGACTACTCACCAGGCTTGACGACTTGGTGGAGGACTCACAGGACTCAGCATACATTGTAATCATAGCTGTGTTGTATACAGTGAAAGGATTCAGAGCAAAATCAACAAGGGGAAAAGGTGCATGGGTGAAACTTGGAGAAAACCAGGTACAGTAGAGTGAGGTGCCTGGTTCCCCCAGAGATGAGATGTGAGCCCGTTTTTCACTAGGGTAGTCATTAGACACTCTGTACTCAGAGTTTTAATTGTGGGCTGGTCACATAGCTCCCTTCTGGCTAGTATATACCAAAATTCCACACTCTTGGGGAAAGTAGATGTTTGGCACAAACCACTTTTTTGCTTATTTGTTTTACAAACAGTATAGGCTTAGTGAGCCATTCTTAGTTAGCATGGTAGAAAGTCTCCTCAAATCCAATTTCCCAGGTGCTTGGCCAAGGGCCAGCCTTAGAACAGGGCATTTCAAGTAGTTAGGCCTATTGTGTTAACCATTATGTTTTTTGTTTTTTAGTAGTACTGGAGTTTGAACTCAAGGCCTTGTGCTTGCTAGGTAGGCATTCTGACTTGTGCCACACCCCCCCGACTGTTTTTGCTGTAATTATGTTTGACATAGATCTCACATTTTTGCGTGGGCTAGCCTGGACCACAATCCTGTTTATGCTTCCTGTGTAGATGGGATAGCAGGTGCACACTGCCGTGCTGAGCTTACTAGATGAGATGAGGTCTCACTAACTTTTTGCCCAGGATAACCTTGAACCTTGATCCATTCCACCTCCTGAGTAGCTGGAATTACAGGTGTGAGCCACCCTGCTTGGTCTTTTTTTCTTTTTCTTTTTTTGGTGCTGGTGATTGAACCCAGGACCTCGGGCATGCTAAGTATTCTTTCTACCACTGAGACTTGAGAAATTTGATATAATTCTGCTCTACCACCTATCCTCTGCTCTTCTCCCCTACCCTATGTTCTTTTGGTCACTACCTCCTTAAACTATCTTACGCTATTCAGGTACTGCAACTAATGTGCATATAACTTCCAGATCTAATGATTTAGAAAAGAGCATTGAGAATCCCTGTGTTATCACTGCTTGGTGTTTTATAATATCAAGTGAAGAATTGCTGCTTTGGTGATTTTCAGATAGTGAAGAATTGCTGCTTTGGTGATTTTCAGATAATCGTGGTGAGCCCTGCTTCCTTCATCAAAAAAAAAAAGGGGAAAATGATGAATGCTGAGTTTTTGCAAGTCCATCATGGGTAGATTGTTTTATGGAGATGCCACTATTTTAAAAACAAAACTCTTAGAGTTTTAAACAGTTCCTAAGTGTATGTGCTTCTAACTACACATTATTTCTGTTCTTATTGTCTTCAAGAAGTATAGATACTATTATAACTTGTGTGGGCCATGGATGCTCTTTTCAGCAAAAAATTAATTTTATTCTCATGAATTAAATATTTCTCCTTTTGCTAATTTGATCAGAATATCCTTTGGTTATTTGATGTATATTCCTTAGATCCTGAGAGGCCTCATTGTGAATTTACAGTGACTGGAGATGTCCATCCCGAGGCTGCAGTAAGAGTTGTCCAGTCCATGGCTCGTTTCATGGCCGCCTATTTCACCAATCAACTGCTTTGCATTTTGCCACCTCATAGTGTGAATGTTCTTCCTCCAGTTCATATTAAAACAGGTAACATGGTCAACCTTTTCCTTCCTTGCTTTTTGCAGGGAATGTTTAAAACCATATTAAGCAGAGCTCATTATGTTATGGAAATTACAGTTTCAGCACATGCCTGACACATAGGAGATACTCAGGGACTGTTTGGAAACAAACAAAATCTCAGAAAGACATTGCTTGGATTTGGTTTTATTGAATATGAATTTTTTTTTTACAAAATTTGGACAAATTGATATTAATAAAATTTCCATTTTTAAAGTGAAAGCTGCCACCTTCATAGGTAAAAGTGTGGACATTGATCAAATTTAATTCTGTTAATTTAGAATTTAATTTTATTTGGAGCATTTACTTTTTTTTCTTTTTAATTATTTTATTAATAGGGTTAAAATATACCTAATCCTGTGGTAGATAACTATCAAGCACTTCTGGAGCTAAGTATGTACATGAATTTCTATAATATTCATTCATTTTGCTAATTTTTCAAAAATTTACTTTTAATAAATATATATATTTTTTATTCATATGTGCATACAATGTTTGGGTCATTTCACCCCCCTTCCCCCCACCCTTACACCCCTCCCCCCTTACTCACCCTAACCCCTCGCTACCAGGCAGAAACTATTTTGCCCTTATCTCTAATTTTGTTGAAGAGAGAGAGTAAGCAATAATAGGAAGGAACAAGGGTTTTTGCTGGTTGAGATAAGGATAGCTATACAGGGAGTTGACTTGCATTGCTTTCCTGTACATGTGTGTT